GTGACATGATATCCTTTACTACTTAGAGGGTTTTTTGGTTTTGAATTGGTATCTTCATTCCAATAGGTTTGCTAACTCAGCCTTCCTTGTTTCTACCAGGCTTAATAACATGTATTTTGTGGGACCAGAATCTGTCTTTTTTGAAAATGCCACAGAACTTAAAATGTGAAGGGAATTGCAGAAATATGTGGCATGTTGTAAGCCTTTAACTTAAAAGATGGCTTGTGAAAGGCCATTCTGTTCTCTACAGAGATCCTCACATGCTAGAAAATGTAGTGAACTGTACAGTTCCATTTACCTGACAAATATCTTCCAGCATAGGTTTATTTGAGACAGTGCAATAAAACTGTTAAAAATGAAATGCACATCTATTTCTCATTTACAATCAAGTCACCACTGGCAAATGCTAAAATCTCAAGAGAATTTTACAAATCCACAGGATGCCTCGGCAGCGCTTAGTTTTCTGTTTGAATCTGGTTTAGCTGAAAGGTACAGCTAGACAAATAACTCCCTACTGGCTATCTATATGAAAAGAATCAAAGACTGTAAGTTGTTCTTACTTCTAAAGCAAATGGTAATCTATGCTTATCCAGCTCAAAATTAAACTTTTACAAAAAACATCTTAAAGTCTCAAGGGAGACCCAACAATCTACAGCTACTTAGACAGAAGTTATAAAATGGTTGGCTGTCAATCATTGGCATCACGCAGGGAGGGAAGAACAAAACAGCAAAGGGGGTGTTGGGGTTAAATATCAAAGGAAATTATAACTTAAGGAGAATCCAGGTTGCAAAACGAGCTGTGAAGGGGAAATTTGAAGTCCTGCATGGTGTGACCTGTTGCTAAGGACCAGAGTCAACAACCATAATTTACATACTGTTTATTTTTCAGTAGTGTCTCTGAGTATGTAAACCTGGAACAAATTTATAAGAAGTCACAATCTCTGTTGTGGAGTACTTATTACCTGAAGAGAGGACAAATAAAATCCACCAAAAGAAGAAAGCTACAATATGTTACAATGCAGTCAGGCAAATTAATGAGGAACATCATAGTTCTATTCACTTAATTATTTATTGACCAATAGGTTGTTTGTCCAGGGAAAAAAAATACAATTAGAAGTAATTGGAAACCTGGATGAAAATTACCATTTTGAAACTATGCAAAGAAAGAGTCATACAAGCATTGTTAAAGGTTTTAGTTTTAAGTTGCTTTTTTTTCTAGCTAAATTCTCAGAGATTTTGGTGACAACCATAAAATAGCTAGAGAAGAAGAGTGCCTGAATCTCCTGCCTCTCTGAAGCCACTATCAGAGGCCACATGTCAGGAACCTGATAATCTATGGTTCAAATCCTTCGCAAAATTGATCTGATATAGATAAGCTGTGGTACAGATGAGCTCCTCTTTCTTAGGAGAGTACCCTTAAAGAGTGGAATATTGAATTTGTTGTGATACAGTTGTCTCATTTCTCTGCTTCCAAAGTTTTCAGTATGTGTAAATAATTACATATTCATTGTAGCAAGCCCTGGAAATTAGCTGTCCCCTAATACCCAAACTATGAAGCTGTTTTTCTTAGGCCTGAAGTGATTTCTCTTGCATTGAGTCACAGAGCCAAAAAATCAATTAATTGTGTCCTCTAATCAAAGCTAATTTATGGATTACTGAAATCAGATTTGATGCGACACTCAAAAGTTTGCAAGATTATTCACTGGAAAAACCCTTCTAGCCGTAATTAATTACCAGACTACAAGATGGCATAGTTTCCAGGCATGTGAAGAGTAGGATATTTTTACTCAGATCTGCTTCTAGACCTTACCCCATTATTGGCTTTTAGCAAATAAACTGATGTATGTAAGCATGAATAACATAAACATCATGTGATACTAGTTGAGTTCGTAAGTATTTGCTGTGGTTCTAGTGTTTCTGAGGATGTTAAATGTTTGCTCAAATACAAGTGTAAAGGGTAAAACAAATACAATTAAATATTTTTCTATTGTACCTATGGCCCTGAACATTGAAATTCAAGAGAGCAATGGGTTAACATCTGGGGCTTAACAAATAGTCAGCTAGTTAAGAGAACATGTTAACTGCCCATTCTTTCAAAAAGATTCAACTCAGCTTCAAGCTAACTTCGAGATTTGCAAGCTGAAGGAAACAGTTTAGTAACCACGACCAACAAATTACCAAAATCTCATTCAAGAAGAGTGACAAGAATCATGTTTCCTGAAACAAACTAACCTGTAGATTTTTCACCACAGTGTCTGTGCACTTGAGCTCATCATTTTTCTAGTCACATCTTCTATAGATACTTTTGCTAACTTAGATATAGCTCCAGTTTTGACTTACAGTAAATTAATTCTAAACAAATTAAATGTTAGCTGTTGAATTTTCTGGAAAGGTTGGGATTAAAATAATTTTATCGTTCTTTGTTTAGCTGGAAAAAATACAAGAGTTTCTTTCATCATAGCATTGCATATATTCAAATGCTGGCTGCTAGTAAGGACAAGCAGTAACTAAGTAATAACATTTTTCTGCTTGACTTGGTGCGTCTATAGAGCATATTTCACTGTTCAGTAACCTGTTGAACTAGGCGAGAAGGGGAAGGGAAAGACTAATTTCCATATTATCTGCACATGCTTGGCACACAGGCCTTTGGAGCAATTGCATAATTAGAAGATAGGATGATATGAAAGGGATTAATTTTTTTAATATGCAGTCCTCCTTCAAATATGTTTTGTTCTAAATAGCCATGTGAACATTAAAGTAACAACTTCATATTCCTAGTAGGTTGCCTAGAATAAATAAATGAAAAAATAATCCTCGCAAAATCGGCTAATTTGGGGCTATCATGATAATTTATTTATAATGTATTCCCTCTCTCCTCATCAAGGCCCTCTCAGCATTATATGAACAATTATAAACTGTATTAAAAACATCATCAAATATGTACCATAACAGACAAACAAAATAATAAAATCAGACCTGAGCTGCATTGTTAAAAGAGGGTTTGAAAGTGCTACAGGTGGCAGCTGATTGCAGCAAAGAAGCCAGGCCTTTCAAGTAGGTCCAACTGTTAGACTTTTTTTTTCAAAATATCCACATTTTTATTTGATGGCCTGTAGTTAATTCAACGATCAAAGTGTACATATTGTTTTGCTTCAGCTTGTTTTATTGAACTTAAAAACTCAACCTTAGAGCTGCAGGTGCCATTATACTTCTGAGGATCTACCTTTACAATTTCTTCTCTTTCTCTCTTGATAGCAATGGTCAGTCATTGCTGCAAATGTGGTACTGTCTCCCGTATTTCACTTCTGATTTATTTTTCTAGTGGGTATATTGTTGGGAAGAGGTGCTGGATGGGAAGCTAGGAAAAAAGCAATCTGGTTTTGTGTTGAGCTCATAAAGCAGTAATACTGGTGGCCCTGTGACACCTTCTGCCGTACATGATGGTTCTGATTTCAAAGGACTTTCTCTAGGGTGAATTGACCGGATAATCTGTCCCCTTTACTCATAATTTTTATGTATGCCTAGACTGCCAAATCAGAGATTTTCAAAAGAGCCTAATAGCCGTATCAGTTCAGAGGGGAGGAATTCACTGCTTTTTGTGGGGCAGATACTTGCCCTCAGAGAACTGGATCAAAGCCCAGCAGCTCCTTTGAACAATATCTGATTGTGGTGCTGTTTGAAGCCATTTTTGCCCTTTTGGCAGAGATGAGCACTCTTGTGTTTCTGGTGACTGAAAGGTCTGTATGAAACTTTTCCAGTTTGCTTCAGGAGAAGACAGAAAAGAATCTTGGGGTGGCAATGGACAAGCTTCAAGTACCGGCAGATAGTTAAGGGTGACACCACGTAGCAGACATACACAGAAGAACACATCTGTTCCTTTCCGTGTGAAAGCGGGACAGCAGCAGAACAACTGTGAACCAATCTAGGCAACTTCTGTGTACATGAAATTCTCTGTGTATCATGATTCATGTCACAAATGCTACACACGAAAAGGTGGAAATTATTTTTGTATTTTATTTTTTCAAAAGAAGTCCTTAAAAGATTATTTTTCAGCTTTCAAATATTAAAAGAAGCACTGTATACTTTTTGTCTTTTTCTCTGAAAAGAGAGAAAATGTTCTGTTAAGAGTCAGTTTTAATCAGTCAGGTTACACCAAAATTTCATTCTTTTTCTTTTTTAAAGACAAATGTTTTGACCAGCTATATTATCCAGCCTTCTTTCCCTGTTTTATCATTGCTGCTACACCATGTTTTCCTCTTTTATCATTTTTACAGCTAGAGCTCCATCACAAAATCTGTATTAGGCTACAGCTAATCTGGTTTCAACCAAAATTCGTTGAGAATACAGCTTATGCTGAATACACAAACATTTTCCTGTCAGAAATGGCTGTTTCACTGACTTGGAGCCTTTCTGGGGGAAGGTGTTGATTTTGTACTAAATTTTCCTTCAGAAAAACTAAAAAGAAATCATGTTTTCCATTTCAAAATTATTTCTGTTTAAAAAATATTTTTTATTGTGTTATGATTCGAACCAGAAGAGCTGACATTGGAGTAAATTGTCTGAAATGAATCCTTTTTGTGGGGGAGATTTCAAGCTTTTGTGCTGTTGCTCAGAACAAAAGAAGTCTTCAAGTGACTGTTAAAAGTTCCCATGGCATGGAAATTTCCTATTGCAGGAAAGTAGGAGCAGCAAGAGAAGATCCATAATTTGCTTCACATTTCAGTACAGGAAGGAAATTACAACATATGATAGCTCAAATTAAAAAAGGTATTTGAAGATCAGCGGGGTTTTTTTTCCCTGTATGAAACTGTAACAGTTAGTCCAATTGAGTTATCTGCTATATGTTTCTTGACTCTTGTTACAGTAAAGCAAATGAATTTATTTTTTTCCTATTGTATTCTGAGAGAAAACCTGGTTTTCTAACATTTTATATCAGTGAGAGCTCAGGAGAGTTGCAGTGGTTCACTAGCTTTTAATGATATCTATTTGTTTTGCTCTAGTTTTCCAGATCAAGATATTCGCAGAACAGCAGTCCAACAAATAGAAAATCTGTCAAATGATGAATTGTTAGAATACCTCCCACAGCTGGTTCAGGTAAGGAAGAAATTGATAGCCAAGGAAGTTTTCTGTCCAGATCAATAACTTTATTAAATACTTTTGATTCTTTCAGTTTAATTGATACATTGTAAGAGGAATAAATAAATAGACTGTTTTCCACTCAAGAGAATGTAGTCGTTTGGCATGCTGTTTGAACTTTTCTGTATACTACAATAAGGTATTTTCAAGTAAAAAAGAAAAATAAAAAATACGTCTGAACAAGAGAAATTCTGCTATGACCACCAAACCAGGGGCTGGCGGTGGCAGGGCTTCGTTGCAGTCAAGGAAGCAAATGGTGTTGCAACGAATCACAGTTTTCTTAACACCACACATACAGGGAAAATCATTGTCAGTACAGAGTAACCAGGGCAATTAGGGTGTAGAATTGTCTCTTTATAGATGCTTTCCATTTCACTGGAAATTAAAGTTAAGTCCTGTGTTACAGTTAAGGAGGAACCAGTCATTTTGAAAGCTTTATACCCTTACTTTGTAACACTGTGCACATGGATTGCTTACAATTCCACAGTTCAGAGTTCCTCAGTGGTTTCTGTGTGTTTTTAAATATATATTTATATAAATGCATGTACATATATACACATGTCTAGACAGATATATATGTATACATGCATGAATATATTTATGTAATCTGCTACTGTGAACCTGCACAGCTTTACAGCATTCACACGGTAGGACACTTATGTGACCTTTCACCTTCCACAGCTTCTGTTTCACAAATAAGTTTATTTTCCAAAATAGGTAATCAGATAAAAATTTAAATATAGCATTGATAGTTTTAAGTGGGGGAAGAAAAGATGCATATTTACATATATGTTAACACAGCCAGAATCAGGATGATATCTGCCTGTCTGATAGGTGGTGGCAGACACTTGTGTCCTGAAGTTTCTTTGCTCATTGCATTGCTAGGGCATTCTCCATATGTTGGATTGCTTCATTCAAACTGAGCACTGATTAATTTTGTTATAAAGGAAAGACAACAAAGCTGGCATACAAGTGATTCTTGTTATTAATTTATCTGTTAAGGTGCTCAAGTTTGAGTGGAGTCTTGAAAGCCCTCTAGTGAAACTCCTGTTGAATCGTTCTCTTCAGAGCATCCAAGTAGCCCATCAACTTTACTGGTAAGATCATTTGCTATTACTACCATAGCTGTTTTCTGTTACAGTGAACTTTATCCATGATTCTATTGGTGACAAACTCTTTTTGTTTACAATCAACAGATTTTTTTTTGCTCCTTCTTTATTCTCCTTTCAGTACTGGGTATGGGTAAATTGTATAAAAGACCTACATATCTCTGCCTTTATCTTGCCCCTGGGGGCAGGGAGGGGGGGAAGTTCTGTTCACTTACATAAGATACCATTTGTATTGTTCTGCATTTTCTGGTTTGAGCCAAAAATAGTCTTCCTCAGAAATTGAAAGTGCCAAGCAGCATTGGCTTACTTATAAAGGATCCTGCTTTTGTGATTTCTCTGACCTCTCCTGAAGTTGTCAGACTTCTCATGTGTGTCAAAGTGTATCTCTTACCACTTTGCATATCAGTCTGACTTGTGATGGTAGAGTTTCCAATAGTTCCTTTTCGTGATTATGGAGATGTACCAGTCCTGACAGTAACTGCCATTGAGCATCTACCTCTGCAATATAAGGACTTCTGTAATTATATTATTGCATGCGGTGGTTATTCTGCTTGCTGTGCCTCAAGGATCTCTGAATAGGGAATGTGGCTTTCTGCCGTCTGAACAACTGCCCTGTGATCTGAAAATCAAACTGTTGTGGTCGGGTTTTTTTACATGTTTAGCCATGATGGATGAATTGAGCTTTCATTAACAGTTCAACTGGTTCAGACACCTTAAAACAAAAGCTTTCCTTCCTGCAAAGGAAAGACAACAAGTTGAAATGTAATAATTTGGTTGATGAAGTGTGAGGTTGGAAAGAGCATAGATCATACTTTCATACCTGCATGATCTCTGGAAGTGTTAGTGGGGATAAAACAGAGTTATGAATGTGTTTGTTTCACTGAAATGAGTAGGATAACAATAACAAACCTAATGAGCATATCTGTCAAATAAAGAGGCACCACATTTAATGAGCCATTTTTCTGACAGTGCCTGAAATATGCCTGAGATGATTTCTACTATCTTATATTAAACTTAGTCGTACTGGATATAAAATGTCCAGTCTAGAGTTCTTAAATGTGCCCAGGGGTTGGTAGTTTTCCCTCTGCAATTAGAAATGGTTTCTAGAGTTCAATGGACAGTGGGAACATAATCGGTTTGCCTGTGTTGTTTTTAACTCCTCTCTTCTTCTCAGAAGAAAAATTACTAAGTATCTGCGGTGTTCTTCCTCTTTACTTTGCAGTGTGGACTTGTGCAGATCCCCATTTTTTTTCCCAAATTTTGCTCAAGCTGTCTAATATTATAATCTTGGGTAATATATAGCGGATATTCCATCCTGAATAATAGATATCCTTGTCTGGCACAGTACGATTTAATGTGGCAAAATACATTTATTTTATATATAGCTTAATATATAGCATAACTATACATACCCACATCAAATAGAATATTTCTCAATGTTCACTGTATTCTCTGCGTTTCAGCTGGTAGTAGCCCTGTTCATGTCATCCAACCATGGATTGTTTTTCAAGCACATTTTCTCCCTGTGTGCATTAGCAGTTGGAGATATCATCAGCTACTGAGTGTTTGTTAAATATTTTGATTATTGTCTTCTGCTTTGGTTGCAGATGGAACAGTTTACTAGTTTACTAGTTAACTAAACTTATTTCTAATTACACATATCCTGGAGTTGCACATGATTGCAGACACTTCCCATAAATAATATTTCTAATTGTTTAAATAGTGATTTGCTATTTATCCATCAATAAATAGTATCTTCTACCTGAAATGTGAACTTTAGTTCCCTAGAGGGACAGCTTTTGGTTAAATCTTAAAATGAACACGCATTTGTCTGTATGTATGTGTAAATATGTGTATGTATATAAAACATACATACACACACATACATTTCTAGAAATATTCAAAGAGATTTATCTTTGGCTTTTTCTTCTTTATAATACAAAAATGTATTTTCTGTAATCATTATTCTTCGTTATTGTATTTCAGTATTGTTTACTGAGCCACAAGACAGAAACAGATGTAATTTTGTCAGCATTAGGATCTTGGTAACGTAACTGAAAAGCACATTCATTGCCAGCTAGCACTTAGCATGCACTAACTTTCCTTGTAAACTTGGTAATCTTAAGAGTTTGCTGCCAGGGCCTCCTTAGCCAAAAAAGCAGATAATATCAGGAGAGAGAAACACTGTCATAGTGGTTCAGGTGTGTATATTTGAGTTCTTTTTCATGGAATAACCTGTCAATAAACTGCAACATATGACTTGTTTCTGAGAACAAATTGGCCTAATGGCAATGTCTTAGAATATGGCAAAACCTGGGAGAGTGGGGAAACACGAGCAAATACAGCAGACAGAAATAACAGCAGCCACCTCTGTGGTAGTCATCCTTGGAAATATAATGGTGGAACTATGTACAGCTAATATAAACTGAGTGGTCATTAGTTTTAGGTGGGGAGGTTGTTTCACATGATACACTTGCTGGCTGGCTGCTCTCAATTTCAAAAATTGGTAAATTTTAAACAGTCTGACTAAACTTGGTGTATAATATATATGTTTAGCTGTACAAAGTAATTGTGCAAGCATCTAGTAGTCCCATTCAATTTAGTGGAAGGAGCTGGGGTACCTCTTTTATTTAGGCTTTTTGTTCAAATGTTTCAATCTAAACTGAGAACTTAAATATGGCACGCATCTCTTAAAATTTTGCTTCTTGTATTCATCACACTACACACTTTTTTTCTTTGGTTACTCTGCTCTACTATGATCTCCAGTAGTAAACTGTTTTCTACCTAACATTTCAGTTTATGTAATTATTCATATTCCTGTTCCAGTATTTTAAAAGGCAGTTTCCCAAGTCATAAATACTGTTTACAAAATTCAACAGTAATTTCATCGTTTTTATTAATAAAGCCTTAATTAATTAATGAAGGCTTTCCTTTACTTCACAAATGGAATTTCAGTCCTTATAAAAGTAATGGAAAACAGAAGTTTTCTTCCACTTACCTCTAAAGAGATTTTACAAGGAAGATCAATGATTTAATAATGTGGGGAACACGTGTGCATGTACACTCATGTAACTTCTTTTAAGAAATGCTATTAGGTAACATTTTATTCTCAAGTGTTGCATTCTGTTTCATTACCAAATTAGCAATAAAGAAGCAAGGGCTGGTAAAAACAAACTTTAGTAACAAGATTATATGTATTTTTAATTGTAAGGAATGACATTACCATTCCACTATTAAAAAATACAACATTGTGCACAGTGTACCTGCCCAAAATAAAATTTGGAAAAGAAGACTCTAATGTAATTCAGAAAACTGGTGATGTGATTTCAGAACCACAGGGGAAGTCAGCTGATTTTAACTTCCATGTTTTACAACACTATTGTAAATCTAGAAATTAGTTACCAGAACTGGTGGTGACTGTCAACACTAACTTATTTTAATGACAAATATAATTTATAATAATATCTCAGTTGTTTAAAATTGACTCAATTTTCCTGCACACCAGAGATAAGCAGTTACCCAACAATGTTGTACTGGCTCATCACTTTTTAATATTAATGTTGGATAGTAAATTTTTAACTCCTTTCCATCAAGCAGTGATAAGTTTGAAGAATTTATTTTAAAATTATGGGGCACTAATTGGCAAAGGCAGACAGAACAGATAGAATATTCATTCTTGGGACACATCTTTAGCTGTTGTAAATCAGGGTAGCTTTAGTCCATTTTTCGCTTGTATCTGCTGCAGATTTGTCCCATTAATTCTGCTATTTAGAGTGAAAAAGTAATTGATCTTAGTCCTTGTGTTTGTTTGGTTGGTTTTTTTTCTTATCATGTGTGACTTTTCCCCTCTCTAAATTCTTGAGGAATTTGGGCCATCTGCATCCATCAGTGTTTCAACTGATACTCATTGGTACTTTTGAATGCACTCCCCTTCTCAAGGAGACTAAAAATTGCCTGTGCATGCAGTGCCAGCACAGGACCCTTGTACCACTTAAATCCCATTTTAATCTTATTTCAGGAGTTCCTAATGAGGCATTTTCCCATGAGGCATGGGAAACCTTAACCCTATCCCACTATCTTCTAGAAATTCACTCTGATTCTAGTCTTTTCCCATCAGAGTTCCTGGGAGGGGAGAAGGCTGGAGCAAGTTTTCCCATTCTCAGCAGCTATGGTGAGAAGAGAAGTTATTAAACTGGTTCTAGCAAAGCAGAAAAGTTGCTTGAGGGGAAAGAAACCTGCTGAGCCCCTTTGGGCCCTTCTGCTTGCTGAAAATCTGTGTTTATCTCCTTGCTACTGTGTTTCACACACAGGGGTTTTTTTTGTCAGCTTTTGTGCTGGAGTTTTAATCCATCCCTCTGCCTCTGGCAACCTGCCAATCGGTTTCCCACTTGCTTGAGCGTTTTTGGTTTTAGCTACTTTCATAGGTGGCAGCTGCAGCATAAACAGCTGGCTGGGGCAGCAGGTGGCCAGGAGTACGTCTCACAGATGGTTGCCTTCCACAGGAGGATTGAATAACGGGGAGAAGTGTAGTGTCCTCCAAGAGCTGTGGCAGCTGCTTGAAGGTGGTGCTAAGAAACAGGTTTCGTTGTTGTGGAAAAGTACGAGTGTTTGTAAATTTTGGCGGAGCATGAGAATCTGGTATGCTTAGCTCAAGAAAATAAAAAGTTAGGTGAAATCCTTGCTGAAGGCAAAATGTCCTTTTGTAGCTTGTCTTCTAAGTTCTCTTAGAGTTTTAAGTCACTAAAACTTTACAAAACTTTTCTACTTTATAATATTTCTCTACATTTTGACTGACAACAAAGAGAAAAGGGAGTAGTCTTCTATCTTTTCCAGTCTACATCTGGTAGATAAGCAAGAATGTAAAACTAAAAAGGAACTCTTAGTGAAATCCAGCACGAAAACAATGTGAATTAAACTATTGATTTCAAGACTAGAACATAATATTTTATTTTTATTTCTTTTTCTATATAAAAAAGAACTGTAAGATG